AAACCAGGAAGAAGGCCCTCACCAGACATCCAATTTACTGGGACCTTGATCTTGGACTTCCCAGCCTCCAGGACTGTGAGAAATAAATGTTGTTTAAACCATCCAGTCCGTGGTGTTTTGTTATAGCAGCCAGAACTAAGACATTCTTGTTCTCTCTCCCACCAACATGGGAAAGACTGTTGATCACAGATTAGAATTCCCAGTCTGTGTTCCAGGGAACTGTCAGCTGCAGCCACCCCCACTGTTAGAAGCAGGAAAAACAATCTCTTAATAAGCCAGCATCCCAAGATCAACTTTTCCAGAACTTAGCCTTGCTTGTCAATATCGTTTGGATCTCAGGAATTTCTGTTTCTTCCTTAAATCCTCTGCCTCATTCTCTACTGCAATTCTCAAGAGCGAGCATCCTCACCCTCCATCAATCTTCCACAGGGGACATGAGACAAAATCTCCTAACTGTATTCAAAAGAAAAAAGGGAGAGAATTAAGAGGCCCACACTTCCATGGCACAAAAGATTAGTATTTCAGAATACCTGCCCTGTGGGTGTCTCAAGAGAACACTCCCACACTGCACATGAACCTGCCGCTGCCTGGCAAGACACAACTCAAACATAACAGCCACGTGTCCACAGGACAGTAAAGGGGCCAGCACTATAGTGAAACGAGATGAGCACCACCCTGGGAGGCAGAAGAGCCATTTCTAGAGAAAACCAGCTATGTCACAATGGATAATAACTGTAAAATGGCCATTTTATTGAGTATATACAGCCAGTGTCCTGAGTCACAGTGGGCACAGAACCATATCGTCAAGTCCCTACCCTCACTAGTCCAGAGGAGGCTTGGGGACCAGATCTCCTCAAAGGTGGCTTTCTCTCACATTTAATGAATCTGTGCACCACGTCCGTGGGAAACAGCCAATCATTGTGTTTTTAAGAGACTCCGGACACTTAGGAAATCTCATCATCCTACCAAAGTATTTAATCCTATGGGGCCACCATCATCCCATTAGAACTTGTCCAGGTTTACATCACACCTGACTTCAGCAATTCCCCCCTCAGCACCCCAGTGCTAAGTGTCTGTGCAGAGAAGAGTTTCTGGACTTAGAGTTCAGTGGGGGCCCTTTATGAACTACTGTTATGGTACACACTGGGGATGCATATGATCTAATAATACACCAATCCTGAGACTTGCACGTTAATCAGTTTCTCCTGAGGGTGTCTGGTAAAACTTTCCTTTGATGAGAAAATTCCACTTCACTATTACAGAAAATTCCTTTGACCTGTCTGTGTTCCCAGCCCACTTGGTCAGCTGATTATTGCATAACAGGCCCTCATCCAGCAGCACATCTGCTTTATTCTTTCAATCAATGCTTCTCTGTCTTGAGCATCATTGATCTGTTATGTACTTGAGGCCCCTCCCCTGGGGTTCAGTACCAGCCCCCTCTCATAGGGATGCACGGAAATAACAGTGATAACAGAGTAGTTCTTAATGTTTGTCCTTTCACAGGAAATTGCCCTCAGCCTGTGAATCAAAAAGAACATTTTATTGTTCTTTCTTGTGCCCACCTTTTCACCTTCAGCCCACCCCTTCTGAAACGACAGTCTTCCCATCTAGTCTTGTTAACCCTTGGATGAAAAAAGCAAATTTTTTTACATGATTGATGTTTTGAGGATAAAGCTGGAGCTTTGCCTGACAGGAATAAATAAAAAGACAAATTGTAGGTGCTTTGGTGGTCACAGCAGGGACTCCTATCATGCCATCAGTTTCCTTGTCCCCAAATGTGTGAACTGCCTGAAAGACCAAGGTAATTGAAAAGCATGCATATACCTGGGGTTTCTCAGATATTAACAGAAATTGCCTCCTACTGCGGTTGCTTTCTGGCTCAGTGTTCTGAAAGAGAACAGGTCATTCCATTTCTAGCTAAAGTATTGAATACACTTTAACTAGTCCATCAAGGAAGAAAAGTCTCAGTGGACTGGTAGGTAGCAGGACTAATGCAGCGGCTCAATTCTGCCACTCCTGTACTAAGGATGCTCCAATCTTCCCCCTCCCCCGCTCCCTCCCTCCCTCCCTCCCTTCTTTTCATTTCTCTTCTCTCCTCTTGTGTCTCCTCCTCCTCTCCTACCTCAGAGAAAGAAAGAGTTGTAGATACGTCTGAACACCCTAAGTATATAACATCTTCCTTTATCTTCAAATTTACGATGACCACCTTCACTAGCTATTATGCTCATCTTACAGATAATCCAAATGCCTGTGGTGGATCAGTATGTGTGTGAGTATGAGGGTGTAAGAAATGTTGGTAGGTATAGAAAAAAATATAGAACAAATGATAAACTGTGGGGTCGGTCCAAACATATTGATGAATCCACATATCTTAACCAAAAGGAAAAGTGATTAATAATTTATGTGCAGCTGTTTCGGGAAATGTTGAGTAAACCAGCCGCTCAGCACCTGCAGCTCTGAGTGGCTACTTAACAAAAGGATGGACTCACAAGTCCCATATGAAGCTGAGATTAGCAGTGCCCTGCCTAGCTGAGAGGGGGAGCTCTCAATCAAATGAGCCAGTTACCTGGCTTGTTGCTAGGCAACTCAAGAGTTCCAGCTCAAGAGTTCGCGTCCCCACCTGAATACCAAGAATATTCCCACTGTTTCAAGGGACTTACAAGCACCCTGGACTGTTGCTGTTGGGAGGGAGGTTCCATACAGAGCAGTTAGGATGGGGCTCAGTAAATCTCAGGGCATTGATAAGCAGCACTTCTGTTGGTCAATTATTAGGAAATGTGTAGAGTGTCACAAGAAGGCACACTCCAACGCAATTAGGAGATCTTCCAAAGCAGCGTCTCTGCCCAGGTGACTTACAGTGTCCACTTAAGATGGGAGTGACGGCCAGTAGGATGTGACTGAGCTCCCATGGAGCTCCCTGAAACTGGTCGATGCACCAGCTGATTCCCTCCTCTCCCTCTGTCCCCTGCTGGATCCAGATGACTTTAACTTCAGCACTTTCTGCCTTCTCTTCCAAGGCTAGATCCCATCCCAGCCCAGGTGTCCCTCACCTGGTCTGAGGCAGAGGGAAGGGCAGATGGGGACATTCTCACACTCCCTCTGCTCTCATTGCAGTCGATTTTCATGGCATAAAAAGTCCTCCCAGCTTTCCTCAAAGCCTTCTCTTCAGATGTTCAAGAACTTATTTTGGAAGTTTCAAAACGTGTTTGAAGTCTTAATGTTGAAAGTTACTTTCTTCTTGCAGCCCTGCTGCCACGATCCTAATTTGCACATAGACAATTGTGAAGGTCTCTGTCCAACTAGAGGAAAGGTCAAGTATAAGGATGTTCAGAAAACTTAAAAAGGCATGAAATTTCGTATTTCAAGACAGCAACTCTCTGCAACCTCATTCACTGGTCCCCTCCCTCTCCACCAACTATTCACTCATCCCTTGGATAGACCTGGAGGACATGATGCTGAATGAAATAAGCCAAATACAAAAAGATAAATACTGTATAATCTCACTTTTAGGAGGTATATAAAACAGTCAAACTCATGGAGCAGAGAGTAGAATGGTGGTTGCCAGGGGCTAGGGGCTGGGGAAAATGGGGAAGTGATGGTCAAAAGATATCAAATTTCAGTTATGCAAGGTAAATGAGTTCTAGAGATCTACTGTATAGCACAGTGCCTGTAGCTATCAATGCTATAATGTATACTTAAAATTTTCTAACAGGGAAGATCTTAAGTGTTCTTACCGTAATAATAATAATAATGAGGGTGGGAGGAAACTTTGGGAGATGTTGGATATGTTTATGGTCTGGATGGTGGTGATGGCTTCACAGATGTATACTTATCCCCAAACTCATGTACAGCTCTTTACATGTCAATCATACCTCAATAAAGTAGTTTGAAAATTTTAAAAATATAAAAAAGAGCACATTAACCATCCTTCATGGAAAGTCTTTAAAATTAAACATAACACAGATTTTAAAATTCCAAAGTATAGTATCTTTAATGAGTTTTTTAATCATTGTCATTTAAACTAAAGTTTCATTGAAATGTATCAGAAAAATAGAGGTATTATTTGTATATAAAAGCATATTTTAAATTCCATTGAAGCCCACTCATTTCATCAACTACAGCTGTTATTTTGTTTTGATGAAAGATGAATAAGGAATAAACAGAAGGCTAATGCCTCAAATGGATCTACCTGTAGAGCCCCCTGAAAAATCTAAGTACGTATCCACATTAGAGAACACTTCTCCCAAATACGCAATCACTCAATAGCTCAGGTATGAATGATGCTTCCTACAAAAGGAAAGGGGAGGAGGGGGACAAATTACAGGTCTTGTGTTTGGAAAACACAAGAAAAGCTCCAGAGAGAAGCCTCGATTATAAATACTTGTTCTCAGACAGAAAAGTAGAAGGTGCCCCTGTGACCGTAACACGATGGATTCCACTCTGATAGCAGTGATTCAACCTCCTGACAAGATTAGGGATCTCTAGGTGAGGTGCTTGGCATGGAATAATTGTATCTGCCTTTTTCCATTCAAGGTCCCCTTTGTATTCGGTTTCACTGAGCGAAGCCAGCCTCTCTAATCTTTCTGTTTTCATAATCAATTTATAAGAGTGTGTTCTGGTCGGTTCTTTTAATCATACTAAAAAGAATCATAGAGCATTCAAATTTCTCTAGTCCAACCCTCTAATTTTCAGATTAAAAAAAAGTCAAGGTCCAGAGAAGTCAGCAATTTTTCCAAGAACATACAGCTCCTTCAAAGGTTCATCAATATCCTTCAGCCTGACATTTAAAAAGAGAAGAAAAAGAGGATCTGGATTCAGGTTTGGGAGAACAAAGGGTTGTGTGATTATGCAGGGCCTGGGGATTGGGAGAAGTGGACCCGGAGTGGAAGGAGAAAGAATGGGCCCGCGTGCTGAGAAGCTGTCTACAGGGCCGGGCGTGCAGAGGTTTTAACTCGACCACGCGGCTGCAGGATCGCGAGCAGGCCCACCGGCGCCGGGAGCTACGGGGCTTCGGCGGCGCAGGGCCGGATGCTGGCGACGGAGATGCTCTGACCTCGGCATCTCAGGACGCCGGCCTCACACTCTGTCATCGTCCGCTCCCGGCCATTCGCCTCCACGCAGACGCTGAACCCTGTTTCCTCGCACTCCGAGGCGGCTCTGCAGACACATTTGCTGCTCTGGGCTGGAAAAAGAAGCGAGAGAGGCTTGGTGGCCCATGGTGGAGGTGGGGAAGACAAGGCGCATCACGTCCAAAGTCGTGATGTTTGGTGATGGGAGAGCTATAGACGCTCCTGCCTCGCGTGATGCAATCAACTACCCTCCCCTCTCCCGGCCCCCCAGGAAAAGCCGCAGGATTGGGCAAGGGAGGCATTTCGCTTCACTCCGACAGAATAAGCAGGTTTTGAGGATGCTGCCAGGCTTCCTATCGATGGGACCCCCACGGAGCGTTTCTGTCCTCCACGGGCTGCACAGGGCGGGCCCAATCCCCCGGTGTGACCCAACTCCCAGACCAAATGCAGAGACCTCAGCAAAACGCTGGGCGGCAAGGCTCAAACAGAGGGAGACAAAAGAATTAACTTGCTTTGAGAGAGAGAGGGCATGAGATGCAAAAGGCCTCATGCCCCTTAAAGACCCATCAGAAACGAGTCGGGGAGGAAAGCAGTGTGTGCGCTGAAGGTGCGAGGCTGGAACACACCAGCCAGGCGTCCCCAGAAGGAGGGTAACCAGGTCTGCCAGACCGCTGTGGTGACTGCCAAACTGAAAGTGACCCAGACGTGGCTGTATGTGTCATCGTCTCTGCTGCAAATGGGACGGGAGTGAGGGGAAAGGTGCCCAGCGGGTACCGGCCAGGAAAAGGAGGGCCTGAGGATCTAGCAGAGACCTTACAGATCAAGATCGCACAGTCCGGCTCCCAAATTCACAGATGGGGAAACTGAGGATGGTGACTTGGTTCTGGCGACCCAACTCTTCCCCCCCGCGGAGAAGGGCTGGCCAGTGCTGGTTGTCAAGATCACTGTTAAGTGCTACCTGGACACAGCACCAGCAAGTATGGAATCACAGCTTGAGAATGTAGTACCTCCTTTTTTATTCTCTTCACATCCTTCTGATTGCTTCTAGGAGAAAATGTCAGCTTGGCAGGGGTGTGCTTTCAACAAGCCCCTGACACTTGCTAAACACCCTTATCACAAGGAAGCTTCATCCTCCAAGCTTTGAGCAGCATCTGGCTAGAAACTCCTACCTTGTTTTGTTTCATTGTATGTATTTTCATGGTAACCTAATATTTATGGCAAGGGACATTTCCTATTAAAGATGTGATATAACGTTTCTTCTTTTAAAAATTGTTATTTTTATGGGAGTCTGTTTCTTTTTGAATGAGTACATAATACGGATAATACAAGGACAGAGCAAAAATCATGAAGGTGGAACGTGATGTTTGGGAGGACATTCAGACCATCAGGGAGAGTTCTTGATCGACCACCTCTCCAGGGAAGGCAGTCAGGGAGGATAGTTCATGCTCAGACCAGCCAGAGTCTTTGATATCCTCAGGGATGTGCCTTGATCTGCCGCTAAACTAGAAAACTTCACTCCTATTACTTGAGCATTTTTATAGCTACAAATATGAAATGCCCCTTACCGTCACATTTTCCCCATAGTGGACACACACCGCAAGCTTTCTCAGCTGAGGCAGGTAGAGTACAGCTCTCCCTACCAGCAACAGTGTAATTTCTACCCTGACATTGGAGAACATGCATCTTGCAAACTGTCAGAGGCAGTATCCTTTTGCTTCTCTCATCTCGAGCACACACATCCAAGGAGGATCTGAAACAAAGTTTTTAAATTACTTTGTTTACAAGATTTTCTTGCTTCAAAGCTGAGAATGAGAAGTGAAAGGTGAGGCTCTGGGTTCAATGCCTCAGATGTTGTCACCTACAGCAAAAAGATGGAACAGAAATGCAAATGCCCCTCATTACTAGGGCCCAACCCCCTCCAATCTTCAAAATGAACATATTTTGCTCTTTATTTACTCACAAGTTTTACAAGCTTAGATATCTAGTGTCAATGTAGTTTCATCTAGAACAGATCAGATACAGCAAATTAGAAGAGAAGGCAACGTCTGCTAGCCACAGATGGTAGACTGACGACAAAGAAGGAGACAGAAAATTAGCAAAGATCAAAACACTCAGAGGAATGGTAGTCAAATGGGACCACTGGCTGCAGAAGAAAGTATCTCCTCCCAAGCCAGCAGCCCTGAGAGTTCAGGTCTATATTATAGCATTATCCACAGCTGATGACTGAATCCTCAAGGGAAAATGAACTCTATTTTTCAATGCTATTTTTAGAGTATCTACGTTTACAAAATAGTTTAGAAATATCTCCATAAAATGGGTTACTTTTTTTCGTATGCATTGGTGTTAAAATAGTGCCAACTATTTGAAATGTCACTAATAAAAACAACCACATTTCTGAATGCTGATGGGTAAGGAAACAATTACTGTAGTGAAACCCTAGACAGCAAGGCTTTTTTGAGTAGTAAACAGAATCTATATTTACTTATATATATTTAGCTCTGATGTTTACTTCTCTGACCAAGAGTTAAATTTATTTGGACATTTACATAACAGAAACAAATCCTAGTATTTCTTTTTTATCTGTCTATTTAAACTTTAAACAGAAGTTCTCAGAACAGCTCAAAGGGCAGAGAACTTACAGGGCCATCTATCTTGTTATCAGTATCTGATGTTAAAACTCACCATATTTATAAACAGGCTGCAGATAAACTCAATGAATCAGAGAAGTTGGAAAGAGGATGAAAGTGAGTCAAAGCAAACAGTGATTCATAGAGAATAACAGCACAGTCAGAAGATTCTGGGCTGACCATTTCCATTTATGCTATTCGGTTTTATGTTCTCCTTCACATGAGAAGTTACTTCCTATAAGATACCACCATAGTCATCATTACCCAATGTAGGTGTTCAAGGAGATGTGTTTTGGCGACCATACTAATTGAAAGCCAAGTAATTGGCTAATAATTTGTGTTTTGATTCTTAACCTTAAAGATGGCCAGTACGTCCTGGGGACTTGGATATCTTCCATTTGCCTCTCCAGATTCACCCTCCACTGTTCTCCACCCTGCCTGGGAGGCTGACATGTATGGACCACATCAATAGACTTCCTTGTCCTCTAGCTTCAGGGGTGTTTGATCAATGGGGGAGTCCGGCAAGAGATTGGAGGGAGAGAAGAGGGTACGATGGGGGGTTTTATTCTCCTGGCTCACTGCTGGGGATCTCTGAGCTCCCCAAATGAGGGACTCAACTCTTCCTCAACTAGCACTCTGTCAACAGGTTTTCATAAGTGCTCCTCTCTCACACCTTCTGGCTTGGGCACGGAGATACTATCAACCCGAACTGCTACCATTCCAGGTGTACTGCCCCATGGCTTGCAGTTTTCTTTACTCTGCCCACATTTCTGTAAATAGTCCCACCAGTAAACCTCCTCTTGTCCCAATTTAATCATGCCATCTGTATCCAACATCCAGTAAATACTTCAGATATCTTTCTACAATGGAGCGATTTCAAGTGCTGGTGGTGTTCTTAGAATGCAAATCTAGAAACAAACATATTTCAAGAATCAGAAAAGCAGCTGCTTTTGTTTCTCTTGGTATCTTTAAGAGTTTATGTCTCATGGGAATTTCAGCCCTAATCTCCTCAAGCTGTAAACCCTCAGGTGATGGTTTTGTCATTTTGCCCCATTTTATGTAGAGAACAAGCAATCTCAAGCAGTCCTTCAGCCTGTCTCACCAGCCAGATTAGAACACTGCCTAACGCCACCAATGGTCAGCCCTGGTGACCCAGGCAAATAACAAGCAGCAAATGGACTGGATTGAAATGCAAAGACCCTTAACCCATGGTAAGCAACACCTTTGAGCTAACAGAGACTAGCATCTAAGAAATCATCCCATCTATTTTTTTAATTTAATTATTATTTTTTAACTTTTTATTTTATATTGGAGTATAGTTGATTAACAATGTTGTGTTAGTTTCAGGTGTACAGCAAAGTGATTCAGTTATACATATACGTGTATCTATTCTTTTTCAAATTTTTTTCCCATTTAGGTTGTTACATAATACTGAGCAGAGTTCCCTGTGCTATACAGAAGGTCCTTGTTGGTTATCCTTTTTACGTATACCAGCGTGTACATGTCAATCCCAAACTCCCTAACTATCCTTCCTCTGCACCCTTCCCCGCCCCCGTAATGGTAAGTTCTTTCTCTAAGCCCGTGAGTCTGTTTCTATTTTGTAAATAAGTTCATTTGTATCAATTTTTTTTTAGATTCCACATATAAGTGATATCATACGATATTTGTCTTTCTCGTCTAACTTCAGTTAGTATGACAATCTCTAGGTCCATCCATGTTGCTTCAAATGGCATTAAGAAATCATCCCATCTATTTTAAATAAAATAAAACAGAGAAGAAGACAGAGCTTACCCACATTCATAAGGCATTTTACAAATACATCTTGAATTCTGCAGTTTCTCCCAGCGTTGACATTCAGGCACTTCCGGTGCCAAAGGGGCATCTAAAAGAAAACGATAATGGAGAGGCGATCATTAGGTGAAAAGCTTCTTCATAGCAAACAAGGTTTTTGTTTTTTTTGTGTGTGTGTTATGCGGGCCTCTCACTGTGGTGGCCTCTCCTATTGCGGAGCACAGACTCTGGATGCGCAGGCTCAGCAGCCATGGCTCACTGGCCCAGCCGCTCCGCGGCATGTGGGATCTTCCCGGACCGGGGCACGAACCCGCGTCCCCTGCATTGGCAGGCGGACTCTCAGCCACTGCGCCACCAGAGAAGCCCAACAAGGTATTATTTTAATTGTTGAACCAGGCTCTGTAATATTCTCAACTGCAACAAGTTTGTACAGTAAAAAATAAAGCTATAAAGCATTTGACAAGAGGTAGAGCATTCCTAGGACCACCCAATTTCATTGGTCATAATAGCTACTATTTCTTGAGCATTTACTCTTGGCCCTGCCCTTTTAATACATTGTGATATTTAATCCCCTTAATAAATGCCCATTTAAGAGATGAGGAAACTAAGAGACAGAAAAGTTAGGAAATTCATGCTAGTTAACAAATTGGCCAAGCCAGGATTGAAGTCCATGTTTGTCTGAATTGAAGGCCCATAGAGTAGGCTCCCTTTCATCAAGTACATGGGGGTTTAAAAACTGTTTGTTTTGTGGACACATTTTGCCCACTGTGCCTATAATGAGACAGAAAGCATACCATCACTTGACCTATACAAGAAGAACTCTCAGTATCTCAAGGACAACTATAATAACCTCTTACATGTAAATGTCCAAGTGGTCTCCTCTCAACAGTGACTAAATGTCTGGAGGTACTTACATTAATAAAATCCTTTCCTTTATTTTATGTTTCCTACAGACTGATAGAAAGCCAATCATCATCCCAGTTTTGACAGGAAAACACTTTGGTCCAACTTACAAGAGCATAATTTGCCATGGCCTAGGCTATGCCTGCCTACAATGTGAACAGTCTACACCACCCTGCAATTTCCACCTCCTGCCAGCTTCATTACAATGAAATTCAGTGGCATATACTTTTGCATCATAAAACTAGCTACCTGCTGGATATATCTATAAAGGTCATTTGTCTGAAAGATGTGTTTTTATGGGTGCACAAACTGTGGTATACTTCCTTACTTCGGAAAACATAAGAGCTTTAGACATGACAGGAAAATCTCGTAAACAAAGAAGGCATAAACTTGTAAAAATGGTAGCAAGGTGGAGTATGCCTGCCGTGTCCAGCAAGGTCTCTAGCAAGTACTTATTCTTTAAACATTTTTCTTTGAAATGGTATTATCTTTTTTTTTTTATACAGCAGGTTCTTGTTAGTCATCAATTTTATACACATCAGTGTATACATGTCAATCCCAATCGCCCAATTTGAAATGGTATTATCTTAAATGCAACGTAGCATCCTGAATTGGATCCTAGACCATGAAAAGGATATCGGTGGAAAAACTGGTGACGTACGAATAGAGTCTGTAGGGTAGTCAATAGTATGGTACTATTTAATGTTAATGTCTTGGTTTTGACCAACTAAATTGTGTCAAGATATGTAAGGTGTTAGTATTATGGGAAGATGGGTAAAGGGTATATGGAAACTATACTTGCAAATTTTCTGAAATCCTAAGTAATTCCAAAATAAAATATTTTAATGGTATTATCTAGATCAATGCTTTTCAACCAGGGGCAAATGTTTGCTCCCCAGGGGACATTTGGCAATGTCAACAGACATTTTTGGTTGTCACCCTGTGAGATGCTACTGGCATCTAGTGAGCAGAGACCAGGGATTCTGCCAAACATCTGATAAGGCACAGGACAGGCTTCCACAACAAAGAATTATCAGGGCTCAAATTCCAGTAGTGCTGGGGCTGGGAAAGTCTGATCTAAATGGACCAAAACGGAAGTTCAGTGATTAAGCCATGTACATTAGTTCTGCATTATTATTAGCAGTTTATTTGCTAACTGTTCATAAGGATAGAATTTCAGATTTTAAATATTTTCTAAAAGTTATTATAATTTCTTTGTGGAAAATCGCTTGTAGAATTACCTAGACCAAAGACTTTTGCATTTAAAAAGAATATAGCTTTGTTATCTTCATGGCTTGACTAACCAAGTAAACACACTCTTAGGACCCACCTACAGTATGTACGTTTACTATTTTAAAATCAAATAACTTCCCATCAAGACTAAGTACTGATGCGGGTGCGGATAAATAACGGGCTAGTGTTTAATGGATACAGAGTTTCAGTTTGGGAAGATGGAAAAACTCTGGAGACTGATGACAGCAATGGCTGAACAATAATGGGAGTGTACTTAATGCTACTGAATTGCACATTTTTAAATGGTTAAACTGGTAAATTGGAGCTTCTCTGGTGGTGCAGTTGTTGAGAGTCCGCCTGCCGATGCAGGGGACACGGGTTCGTGCTCCAATCCGGGAAGATCCCACATGCCGCGGAGCAGCTGGGCCCGTGAGCCATGGCCGCTGAGCCTGCGTGTCCGGAGCCTGTGCTCCACAACGGGAGAGGCCACAACAGTGAGAGGCCTGCGTACCACAAAAAAAAAAAAGAAAAAGTAAATTGTATGTTGTGTATATTTTACCACAATATAAAAAAGACTAAATACTTATACATCAGGTATCTTAAAACTCTTGAGGCTGACAAACCTGAAACTTTTGGGTTGTTATAGGCTTATTTTAAGGGTAGTTATTATTGTTATCTAAGTCTTCCGAAAAACACACGGGTCTGAAAAACATTCTTAATTAAAACCTTAATAGGATTTGCTACTGAGTGGGAGAAAATTCATACCAAATGTGTTATAAAGTGACTGAAAAAGACATTTCAGAAAAAAACAAGTATATAAAGTATATAATCTTATTTGGAAGAAAAGAGCAACCTCATCAACTGTACATTGTTCTCCTTAATTTTAGCATTATTGGTGCAGGTCCACTACTTTATCCCAAATAAACTCACAGTTATACCTCAGTTCATGTAGAAAACAAAGCAGCTGTCTCTGCTCTGACAGCTACAGAACATGGGAGAACAGGCAGGGCAGCCATTCCACTGGACACGCAGCCCTCCCATTCTGTCCTCTGTGATCTATTTAACACAATCAGTCACAGCCTGCTCTCTTTTCAATTGTGAAGATCTAATTCACCTAATATTACTACTCATGGAATCAATGACTTCATCTTCACCACAGAAGACAAGTTTCAGCATCGAATTAAAAATTATATACTCAAGAAATAAGAATATCATATAAAATAGAATGCAAGTGCAGTTTTCTTCTTCCTTGTTTTTAATTATTTTTATTTATTTATTTTTTTTTTGTGGTACGCGGGCCTCTCACTGTTGTGGCCTCTCCTGTTGCAGAGCACAGGCTCTGGACGCACAGGCTCAGCGGCCATGGCTCACTCCGCGGCATTTGGGGTCTTCTCAGACCAGGGCACGAACCCGCGTCCCGTGCATCGGCAGGGGGACTCCCAACCACTGCACCACCAGGGAAGCCCTCTTCCTTGTTTTTAATTGTTACAAACATAATATTTTCCATTTCTTAAAAAAAAATTGTAAAGAGGAGGTTATTTTGAAACCAAATCTATCCCATTTTAAGTACCTCTAAAAGAAATAGTTTGGCTTTCTAAATCTCTTCCTGCCTTAGCTTCTTAAAAGACCATTTTATACCAATGGACTTATTTACAAAACAGAAATAGAGTCACAGATGTAGAAAACAAACTTATGGTTATCAGGGGGAAAGGGGGGAGAGGGCTAAATTGGGAGATTGGGATTGACATATACACACTACTATGTATAAAATAGATAACTAATAAGGACCTACTGTACAGCACCGGGCACTCTATTCAATACTCTGTTATGGCTTATATGGGAAAAGAATCCAAAAAAGAGTGGATATATGTATATGTATAACTGATTCACTTTGCTGTACACCCGAAACTAACACAACATTGTAAATCAACTATACTCCAATAAAAATTTTTTTAAAAAACTATTTTAATTTGCCATGTGTTCAAAATACTGGATATTTGGATTTCTACCTATAAGAACAACTTCATAAACCACAATACTTTTCCTTCAATAACTCTGCTTTGCAGGGTTATATGTAAGTGCTTTTAAATTTTCAATTTCAGTAGCACTAATAAACTCTAAGAGCCCAAAAACGAAACATATAGAATTTTATATAAATTATGATCTCAACTCTGTACTTCATAAAAGTACATTTTTAAAAATCAGGAGGAAACCAGAAATCAGCTTTTAGAAATTCTTTATTTTCTTGGCACCTTAACAAATATAAAGCTAATCTTTGATATGAAGGATTTAAGTTAAAATTTCAGAATCACCAGAGCTATTCTTGCCTTTCCTTGAATTCTGTGAGTCTATCTGTGCCATGTGCAAAAAAGTCTGTTACCCACTCTATGAACTGACCTCCTTCTTGTAGCAGGGCAGGGATGGAGTGAGTGACTCCGTTATGGAGGTTCAGTGCCTTGAGGAACTGCCGCAAGGACTCTCATTCCCTGAGTGTATGTGTCCTTGGACAGACCCAAGAGCCACTCACCTTTTTGCACACACTGGACGTTCTTCATCTCAGGGCTCCACTTAAGGCTGGATCCACAGAGAAATGTCGAAGGACCTTCTAAGGACCTGCCACCTGAACAGGAAAAGGTCACCTTCTCACCAATGATGTAGAAAGGTTTGTGGGGATGACTCTGTATGCCGTCCATCAGTGCAGGTAGAACGCAGGCAATTTCTAAAGAGAAAAGAGAGAAGAATACAAGGGTCACTGCTTTCCTAAACCACCTTTTAAAAAAAAGTGACAGCCTTGAATGGTGCTGATACACTTGTTCTGCTTTTTCTAATTAGAGGACAAGGAGGAAGAGGTGAGTTCACTCTTAGGATGCCCTGAAAGACATATCCCAACATGCCTGGCATGTTAATGACATGAATGACTGAAGGCCAAAACAGTTCCCATTCTCTCACCCCTGCCCTCAAAGCCATGTGACAACTTAAAATGAATAAGCCTTTGGAGTCCTGAAGTCCAGCCTGCTGTTAAAACCAGACTTTTTACAGCTGCTACTTCTTGTCTGGTGAAGTCCCACCAGAAATTTCCCAAGAGCTGTGTTCATTTGCATATCATTAGCATGTACCCAATTAGATATTTTGCTATCTGAAATCTTTAAAGAACCATCTTTAACCTTGCAACCATAAAAGTACTAAATCATTTTTGGTTTCCCAGTTCTATCTTTTCTCGTTCCATTACATTCATTAGCTCAAATCTTCTACTTGAAAAAACAACAAGGAGAAGAATGAGAAACATGCATAGTCATGGAAGGCGAGCCAGAATTCATGATTTAAAAAAAAACATCTTGCCAATCTCTCTAGTGGACTTTGGACAATATTCTACAAAGTATTGCTTTATTTCTGCACCATTTTAATCAGAAAATCCATTCATTCATTCAAAATCAGCATTTATTGAGTGTCTATATTTTGCCAAATATGCTGTGCGCTACTAGGGACACAAAACACTAGTCACATAATCTGCCTTCAAAAAGCTAATAATTTAGCTTCAGATTAACAAATTTCTGGTCATGACACATTTGCTGGTTTCACACTAATGCTCCCACTAAGACATATAGAAAGGCTGTACAAAGTTAAAAGAAAAAGTATTTCTGAGAGCAACAGACAACAATCAGAGCAATGGAAATTTGAAGGCCCAAGACTCTAGAAAAAGGGAAGTCTAAAGTAGTGATTACAACATTGGGTAATGCTTCTGTCCTTGAGGTTATTTGTAAATTTGAAAAAAAAACATTTTTTTTTAAATGTGCTGAAGGGCTGCTAAACTAAGGAGAAAGCTGCAACTCAGAGGCTGAATAGCTGCATAGAGTTTTTAGCAGTCTCACAGGGCTAGGAGACCAAAAATTAGAGTCCAGTCCTGTTACAAAGAAGGAGCCTCAGTAGAAATCCCATACTTTCCCTTATGATCCCTTAATGGATACAACCTAAGATAAAGGTAAACCAGACATAAACAAGCCTTGTTCTTGCCAGAAACAAACCTAAATCTTTTCTAGAGGAAGATAACATCATCCATATGTATTTTTTTTACATATAAATCTGGCATTCAACCAAAACTAATCTAACATTCAAAACTACGATAGAGGGGCTTCCCTGGTGGCACAGTGGTTGAGAGTCCGCCTGCCGATACAGAGGACATGGGTTCATGCCCTGGTCCAGGAAGATCCCACATGCCGCAGAGCGGCTGGGCCCGTGAGCCATGGCCGCTGAGCCTGCGGTCCGGAGCCTGTGCTCCGCAACGGGAGAGGCCACAACAGTGAGAGGCCCGCGTACCGCAAAAAAAAAAAAACACAATAGAAACATCTACAGCAGATCCAGATGATGGGGTTAACAGACATGGACCATGAAATAACTATGATTAATATGTTGGAAAAATGAAATTAGAAGATGGAGAATATCAACAGAGAATTAGAAAGTATAGAAAAGTAGACAAATGGAATATCTAGAATTGGAAAATGAAATTAAGAACTCAGTAGACGGGCTTCCCTGGTGGCGCAGTGGTTAAGAATCCGCCTGCCAATGCAGGGGACACGGGCTCGAGCCCTGGTCCAGGAAGATCCCACATGCCGTGGAGAAACTAAGCCCATGCACCACAACTACTGAGCCTGTGCTCTAGAGCCTGTGAGCCACAACTACTGAGCCCATGTGCCACAACTACTGAAGCCCGCATGTCTGCAGCCCATGCTCCGCAACGAGAGAAGCCACCACAATGAGAAGCCCACTCAAGGAAGAGGAACCCCCATTTGCTGCAGCTAGAGAAAGCCCGCACACAACAACGAAGACCCAACACAGCCAAAAATAAATAAATAAATTTAAAAAAAAAAAGAACTCAGTAGAGTTCTTGAAAGCAGATTGTCACAACTCTACAGAGAATTAATAAACTGGAATATAGATCAATAGAAAATATTTAAAATGAAACAGAGAGGGAAAAATTGATGTAAAACAAAGAAATGTAGGGAATTCCCTGGCAATCCAGTGGTTAGGACTCGGCACTTTCACTGTCTTGGGCCTGGGTTAGATCCCTGGTTGGGGAACTAAGATACTGCAAGACACAGGGCATGGCAAAAAAAACCAAAACAAAACAAAGAAATATATATATATATACACACACACGTATGTATATGTATATACATTCTAAAAAATGTATAATTTGTGTCTCATGAGGAGACGTGAGCAAGAATGAGACAGAGCAATATTTGAGGACAAAGGTGAAGAATTTTCTAAAACTGACAAAAGACATTAAAGTATAGGTTCAAGAGTGCTTTGAAGATCAACCAGGACAAAGACAAAGAAAATCACACCTAGGCACATCAGAGTAGAGTTCCTTCTGGAAAAGAAAAAAAATTAAAAATCTTAAAAGCAACCAGACCAAAAAAATACGATTTCCAAAGGAGAACAATAAACTTGAAAGCTGACTTCTCACTAAAAAACAATGAAGTCAGAAGGCAATGTAATAAAATCTTTAAAGGTTTTAAAGAAAATAACTGCTAACTTAAAATTCCTTATCCAGTAAAACTATCCTTCAAAAGTAAAGATAAAATAAAAACGTTTTAGATGAACAAATACTGGGACAACTTCTCACCAGTAGATACACAATAAAGAAAAAGAAGCTCTTCAAGCAGAAGTATCTTATTAATCTTTTAAAAGATCTAAAGTTTGGCTTTAATACTCTTAGCTAGGGAATATTTATATTCTATTTCGGCAATATTGATAGTTTATTTCTTCCCAAGGACTCTAGGGCAGAGAGACAGAAAGACAGACGGACACAGAAAGAATAAGAGGAGACCTTACAAATCAGTAAGAAAAAGACTAACAAACCAACAGAAAAAATGCCCAAAAGATTAGCCACCTCACCAAAAAAGTATCCAAATACCCAATAAGTATATGAAAACAGGCTTAACATCATTAGTCATCAGAAGAAATACAAATTTAAAAATACAAATTAAAAAATAAGATATTGCTACACACTCACCAGTATAGCTAAAAAAAAAAATTTAAGATAGACAATATCAAGTGTAGGTGAGGATACAGAGCAATCTTGACTTCTCAGATTCTGTCCAGGATGTATATTGGTACAACCACTTGGAAGACTGGTAGCATCTACTAACTCTAAATGTATGTATACCTGACAACTCAGAACTTTTACTAATATGTATGTACTCAAGAGAATAAAATGTACCTGTGTGCACTAGGACTTTCCTAACATAGCCTAGACCAACTGATATAGGACAAATACATCCCTGTAGCGCTGTCTATCCATCTGCTGAAGAATCTTATATTGTAGCACAGTTGAGATAGAAACCAGAAAATAGCATTAGGGTGACACAACATGCAGAAGCACTTACTCAGATGTCTACATCTAAACAAAATAGGATCAAAAGCATTTAAGGAAGTAGATTGTGGTAAATCCCTGGTAATTAAACTCTAAAGAATATCCTTATGGCCTTAACCAGAACTGAGCTCCCTGACCTATTCTAATTTGCACCAGAAACTTTAAAATTGCAATAAAATGTGCCTCACCTAACAGGAGCACTAACAACTAGAGAAAGCCGAGGGGTTTTTCAAGATATTCCTGAAATTTGGACAGGATCGTATAAGCCTTTCAGGAAACGGAGATCAAGACATGGGCATATGATAAGCAGTTATTTATCCTGATTTATTCCTTTCCACACTATTCTTTCATCTTAAATTATATACTATAATCAAGGCCACTCACTCTGACAATGCATTTTCCCAACAAGCCACTGTAAATTTTCTCCACATCTGGCAACAGGGTCTCCAACAAGAGAGTATCCTTCATTGCAAGTATACACTATGTTTTTCCCAACAGGAAACAGGGCACCTTCATCCTAAACAGAAATAAAAGATGGAGAAAGGAAGAATATCTCTTTTGCATTAACAAAATGTTTCTTTAGATATATTCAGCCTATAAATCATGACTTCTTTAATCATCAGGCAATCTACATTCAAATAACTCATTTTGAAAATTGTCTGTAAAATTATTTTTTCCTGTAGAGTCCTAGCCAACAACACTGGTACCACCATTAACTGAAATAAAGCTATTAATGCCATTGTACTATAAATTTTTGACAGCTCCCCGAAACCAAGCATTATACTAAACATTTTACTAAAATTACTTTAGTGGACACTGCTCAAGTAACTTCTATTATACTTTCAGAAAAGCATCGGATTTTGCAAATGTCCTCGTCAGTCAGCTCTTCCTAGTGAGGTGTTATGGGCTGTCCATTGGCAATACTGCCCAATAAATGTCATTATGAACAGGAAGAAATGTTCAAATGTCCTATCAACATGTTCACGAAAGTTTGAGGTTCCCACTGATGACTTTCAGAGGAAGCATGATGTTGATCTTCACCCACTACCCTCCCCAGCCCCAACCTGTAAGGGAAGTGATGCTGAGGCTGAGTCAGATTCAAGGACATGCCATTAGCCTATAACGCCAGGAGGTGAGATTTCATTGTGAAGCAAGGAAGAATCTGAAGTCTGAGCCTTGAGGGAGTCATCATTCTTGTTTGGTGTCTCTCTTCGTTCCTTTCCTTATCCATCTAGTTCTTGGCTACTCAAGAAGATGGGGAAGAAAACTGGCCTGGGAGAGGGCGTGGAGCTGGACCAGCTCTGCTGTAGGCAATAGAACAAAATTCTGTGGCGCCTTCTTCTCACAGACAGTCTTGCTCTTCCTGGCCCAGTCTGGCTCCAGCATGAGAGTTGGTAGGAAAAAGAGCACCCAGATTGGCATTGTGATTTGAAGAAAATGGGGAAAGATATTTGATCTGCCTTGTTTCTAGTCCCTAGGCCTTCCACTGCCTTGCAGAAGGGACTTCTATATGAAAAAGTCTAACTCAATAGTGTCTAAACCTGGCTGTCTCTGTCAAAACCATTAGTAACAATTAAAAAAAAAAAAAAACTCTCAGGCTCTACACTAAACTTACAAAATGAGAAGAAAAAAAAAGAACAATGGGCAAGCAGCAATCTATTGTTAAGTTTCCTGGGTGCCTATGATGTAGCCAGTCCACGGGACAGTGTTTGGAACCCCCAGCTCCTAACAGGACACCACATGCACTACAGTTGAAGACAGCAGCTTCGTGGTTTGCTGAAGTCTATGAGTCTGCCTGGCCTCATTCTATAAGCATATTTCCTTCAGGAACTTCATGGATTGTGGTGGGACAATATGAGTGTTAGAGAGTCTAGGTTCACTTTCTCTCTCTCCATACACAAACACATACACATCTCCCAACAGTACCTACATTTGGGGAAATTTCAGCAAACACTCAGTGAGTATATGTTCAAGGGTCTGGCATTTGAGAGGCAAATTCTTCACGGAGAAACCAAGGCTGGTGGCACTGAAAAAATCCCAATGAGCAATAGCTCCTATGTACCATGAAGAGATACTTCCTGGTGTTTGGAGCCAAAGCCTCAACATAAGAAGTAGTGAGAAGAGCACACGAATTAATATGGCCCCAAAGCCATATTAATTTCCCAGAATGACAAATGGCAGATGACTTGTGTTTCTTCCTGAACAAGAAAATTGCTCAAGTATAATACAATGACCCATATCTCACCAGACACTGGCTAAATGTCTTACTGGCCCCTGGAATAAACCTAATGCTTTACCCCAACCCTTGTATTTATGAAAAATTTAAAAAGACTCCTTGCAGTGAAAAGAACCAGGTAAGTTCTCTATGCTGAAAAACTTGCTTATAGATTCCTACTTTCGTGTTCAGAATGGAAATGTTTAGCTACCCTCTGGCATGATTACATTTCTAATTCATTGGGGGGCGATATTGATTTCCTTTACCGCAGGAGATATATTACCTCCTGAAGAATTCTAACCACCTTGGGCCAAAGAAGAAAACTCACAAACTAAAACCCTCACTGCTAAACTAAAACGCACACATAAAATGTTTTTAGCACTGTTTCATCATGGAAGGAGGAAATAGATTATGACATCAGTAGAGAGATAGAACTTGGAATGAACAGTGTATGTAAAGGAAAAAAGTATCTTTTATAACCAACTTGAACATATCCGTCTTTCAAGGCAGGAGGTGATGGACAGAATTCTGTTGGAACCAAAGACAAAGGAAAACAATGTGGTTCAAGCAATCTGAAAGGAAAAGGAAACAAAACATAATTAACATGATGGATTTTCCACAATTTAACAAATATTTTACAGCACAGTGAATTTTTCATTTGCATCTGAAGGGACTCCATCAAGTAAGTAGTGGACACTGCTCTGTGATGTGATGTTTTTGTCATTCTCAGAATAAAATATCTGATCACATCCCATGATAGAAAACACATATCAACTCACGCTTCCAAAAGATAACTACCAGATCAGTAGTATGGAAAACAAACAAAGAAAAGAAAAAGAAATAAAGCCATTGGACAACACATATGATTTATGTGATTCCTAGAGGTCACCTGTCTCACACCCACTTTTTCTCCTGCTATTTGGTTCTTAAATACCTTTAACACAAAATTAATTCTGTATTGAAAATAAGGTAATTCAAGTTTGTGATCTTGCGAGAGGTAACACAAAATAATAACTATTTTTGACTGAGTGCTTACTATGTGCTAGGCATCTTGACAGATGTTCAACAAATGTGCCTCAGCTCAATTCACACTCACAGTAACCCCATGAGATATGTGGAGAAAGGCTCAGGAAGTTTGAATAACTTGTCCAAGGTTATAGAGTAAAAAATGCCAGGGTTGGATTCACGTCTAGTTAAGCTCCTAAAATCATGCTATTTCTACCTCTTGCAAGGCAATCTCTAGGGGAGCTCACAGTAATTGAAACCGAGCAGGGCCCTGTGGGGCTCCAAGGCACAGAGGCCTTTTTTCATTCCCCATTTCTTGTAGGCAAGACTCCAGCCTCCATGACCTTCCCTGAGTTCCAAAGGGCAGATGTGAACAGTTGCTAATCAAGGGAGAAGCATCCAAGCAACCACCTGAGGCGAGATTAAAGAGACCAGAGAGACCTCCTTGGTGGTAGAGTGGTTAAGAATTCACCCTCCAATGCAGGGGACTTGGGTTTGATCCCTGGTCAGGGAACTAGATCCTACATGCTGCAACTAAGGAGCACACATGCTGCAACTAAGATCTGGTGCAACAAGGATAAATTAAATAAATACAACTTAAAAATAAATGTTTTTTAAAAAAAATTTTTAATGTTTCATTGCTGAATCATACCCCTGGGTTAGAGTTCTTTATGCCACACCCCACTCTTTAATACTGTCCTTATTAACCTTTTCTGATCAGGTATTGGCAAAAATTCTAGAAAGATAATTTGAAGATCATGTGAGTTGAGGAAATGTGTAAGATGCTTGGGTGTCTGGTACTAGCACAGGGAGGTGAGATGCCTTATTCCTGGGTCTTGGGTGCCTCATAATCCAACAATAACCAATATCTCTTGGCTGAGGAAGCTGGCAAACATGAGACTCTGGTAGGAGGAGAATGTTGCCTTCAAGGGCACATATCTCTGGAAGATGAGGCTCTCTGAGGAGACCTCTCCCTCCATGGGCATATTTCCTCTGCCTGTAGACATAAAGCTGGATGAACACGAGCATCCTAAGGGAAGCACTGAGAGAATTCTCACTCTTCTTGGGGCTCAGAGGAGAGGAAATATCCTCTTCTTCCTTAGTACAAAAAGGAAAATTATGCTTACACTTCACATCTCTGAGTTTCCTCAGTGTGTGGCAAGAATGTAAGGAACTCAGCTCAGAAGGCGGCAACATGCACAGGCTATTTGTAAGGCTTCCCCTCAGATTTCCTGTTTCTGGAGTGGAGATAATACTGGAGTAGAGTGACCTCAGAGACACTGCTGAAAATCATTGTTTAATGATAGATGTCATTGTTATCATGATTATGATGCCAAAATCTCGGTGTCTCTGTGCACCGGCGCCGAATCAAATCTCAGAGACAGAGTTTTGGGTGAAGTAGAAAAGGATAGCTTTTGTACTTTGCCAGGCAAAGGGGGACACAGCGGGCTCCTGCCTTGAAAAACTATGTGTGTCCCCCTGGCTCCCCGCCAGAGGATTTGATGAGGGGTTTATAACAACAGCCAAGGGTGGGGTTTCTGACAAGATCAGGGTGTGTGCAGGGCTTGTCCTCCCTCGTCTCCGGTAGTCGGGCTCCTAACCTTTTCTTTTTTTTTTTCTTTTTTTTTTTTTGCAGTATGCAGGCCTCTCACTGTTGTGGCCTCTCCCGTTGCGGAGCACAGGCTCCAGACGCGCAGGCTCAACGGCCATGGCTCACGGGCCCAGCCGCTCCGCGGCATGTGGGATCTTCCCGGACCGGGGCACGAACCCGCGTCCCTTGCATCGGCAGGCGGACTCTCAACCACTGCGCCACCAGGGAAGCCCGGGCTCCTAACCCTGATGAGCTTCTCTGGTCCCTCCTACCAGAATCCCATATGTTTGCCAGCTTCCTCAGCCAAGAGATATTGGTTATTGTTGGATTACAAAGCACCCAAGGAATAAGGAATAAGGCATCTCACTTCCCTATGCTAATACCAGATACCCAATCATCTTACACGTTTTCTCAACTCACATGACCTTCAAATTATCTTTCTAGAATTTTTGCCAATACCTGATCAGAAAAGGTTAATAAGGACAGTATTAAAGAGAGGGGTGTGGCATAAACAACTCTAACCCAGGGGTATGATTCAGCAACGAAGCTTTTTTTTTTTTAAATATTGATTAATTGATTGATTTTGGGCTGCGTCGGATCTTAGTTGCCCTGTGGCATGTGGGATCTTAGCTGCTGACCAGGGATCGAACCGGCAATCTCCTGCATTGGAAGGCGGATTCTCAACCATTGGACAACCAGGGAAGTCCAGCAATGAAGCACTTTTGAAGACAGCTTTTGCAAGGTCCTGGCAAACAGGAAGTTAGTATCAGACACCTGGGCTAATCAGTGAAGATGTTAGCTGTCTCAAATGTAAGCTTCATGCTTAGTCCAAAGTAAATAAATAAGAGGGAGTGGGGGCTTCCCTGGTGGCGCAGTGGTTGAGAGTCCGCCTGCCGATGCAGGGGACACGGG